CAGTTCTTCGAGCAAGCTATACTCGGACTGCCTTCCAAATCCCTGGGGACGACAGGATCCGAGTGTCGCTCGATACCGATCTCGCCTTTATTCGAGAGGACGCAATGGATCCTGACCGGCCATGTCGGGACCCAGATGATTGGCATCGGTCTGATATCGACCAGAACAAGATGGAGTACCCGTTTTCAGCCATTAAGAAGGGGGAGATCAGCCGCTTTCCCCACGCTGTGCTTGAGATCAAGATCAAAGAATCCAAGTACACTAGGAATAATACCTGGCTTAACGACTTGATGAACTCCCACCTAGTCAAGGAAGAGAAAAGGTTCTCTAAATTTGTCCATGGTGTGGCTGAGCTTTTCGAAGACTACGTTAACAGTTTCCCGTTCTGGCTGAGTGACCTCGAGACAGACATCAGAAGAGACCCGGTCACGGCTTATCAAGAGGAACAACAAAAAGAGGCTAAACAGGCAGAAGATGAAATGGCTGTGGGGAGTTTCATTGCAGGGTCCAGGTTGACACCCAAAGGAAAGTCGGCTTCTTTCCCAGAGAGGAGACTCTCCAGTCAGCTCTCCCAGTCTGTTCAGTCCCAATTACGCAGCAGGCCTGAGCCGCAGCTTGAAACTACAGCTGAGGAACGGGATACTGACGAGGAGGGTGTTCATCCTCCCGAAGAGGTAGAGGTCCAAGACTCTTCCAGAGGCGGCATCCGATCCTTCCTTCCCGCTTTCTCCAATTCTCGTTACGCTCGACGTCACCGCGAAGGCAAAGGTGCCTGGGAAAACGCGCCGCTTCCGCCGGGCGTCAAGGAACCGAGTTTTTGGATCAAAGACCGGGGTGACCTGAAGGTCGAAGCCAAAGTCTGGCTTGCTAATCAGCGAACATTCATCAAGTGGCAGCACATTGCAGTCCTCCTAGCGACCCTGTCCCTAGGTCTATACAATGCTGCGGGTGTTGATAACAACATTGCTCGCATCCTCGCTGTTGTGTATACTTGCTTCGCGATATTTGCAGGAGTATGGGGATGGTATGTGTATATGTGGCGTACAAAATTAATCACAGAACGGAGCGGAAAGGACTTTGACAACCCCATTGGGCCATTCATTGTCACCGTTGGTCTTGCCGTCGCTTTGATCTTGAACTTCGCTTTCAAGTACCGTGCAGCCGTCCAGGGTAACAACCCAAACACGAGTAATGGCACGGCTGGTCTCTCGATCACCGTGGCGTTGCTGACACCAAAACTCCAACTTCCTCAGGCGACGGCTACTGGACTCGTCGTGCAGGAGCTTTAGTGCGCAAGATTGGGAAGAGCTGAGGAGGCAAGAGTCGATGAGTGAAAGTATAGCCGCTGGTTGAAAGGGAGAAAATCCACCACAGATATGATTCTCGGGCTCATCAAGTCGAGCACCCGCCATCAGACGTGCAGATTACGGATCAGTGAGCCAATGGCCCAATCAACAGCTTATGATCAATATATCGTTATTCGAACAGCCATGGCAATTCCCGCTCAAGAAGCAGCAAGCCCAGTGTCATGTGTCTTGTAGGGCATTCTTATATATGACACGTCCACCGGAGTCACGTGTCGGAAATGAGTTGGAGGGAGATTCAAGAGAGGAGTGACGAGTGGGAAATAAACACGAGCCGTGGTCGAATCTGGATGGAGCATGCATTCCTCCCTGGTCTTACCACAGTGAATAGGTTGTATTGTACTGGTAATCGACTTGACCACATTTACATTTGGGCTGCCTTCAACTTTCGCTCTGCTTTCTTTTGCCAACACAATCATGTATTATACGAGTGAACAATTTCCTCGATGAGCCTCTCGGAATTGTCAACGGTGCAAAGGAAGATGGCACCGCTGGGGATAGACCATTCATACTGATAGGAGCAATGTGAAATGCTCAGCCACCCCCTCCAAAGACTTCGCGCTTTCAGGCAACCTGCAGAGAAGGTCGTTCTCTGACCAGTCTTCCCCTACATATCACTGCCTCGCCTCTGTAATAACACCCTCGTAATCTCTAGACTTAATATAGTCTAGCGTCCTGAAAAAGTGACGCTTTGGATTCTCTAGGGCCTGGGTGTTCCCCTCAGAGTTTGTTGTCGACAAGTTTGAATGGATCAGCTCAACGAGGCCATTGAGGTACTTGGTCGTAACCTGTCGCATAAATTATTAGTCAAAGCTGGGGAATACAAGAAATGTTCGCCCTTACCGTTTCGTTCTGCTGATCAAAGTAGTACACGTATCGGTTGAGGATCTCGACAAACAATTCGACGGACACTGCGGTGTCCATACAAGCATCCGCAACCCGTAATGCTCGTTGGAGACATTCTAGTACCCGTTTCCCATCGCGATAGAACTATTTTTGACTTGTTAGCGCTTCAAGAACCCTTACAACATCTGCCCTTGTTGAAGCTTACGTTCTTAGGATCCTCCTCCCTCCCAGGGATCTCAACACACCACCATAGGTGGCTGGCCAGATATACTGCACGACATTGATCGGGTTTCTTTAGCAGTTTGCTCCCGTGCAACGCGGCTTTCGTGATCAACGTGTCGTAGTTCTCCTTTCCAAATCCCCTCGTCATTTGCAACGCCCCGGCGATGATGCAAACAGCCTGGAACTGTGCCCTTGAGTCACTGATGCTGTCCTCGTAGATAGTAAACGCTTGGGCAAAGAATTCATAGGCAAATTCTTCGAATCCACATTGATCGGCGATTTGACCGCAGGAAACAAAGAGTCGAAGACACAATTCTGCCGCCCCAGGGTTAACGCGGGTATATAATTGAGAAAGAGTCTGGTGCATGAACCGGTACAAAGCGGAAGACTGGTTTTGCCAGTTGTCGTCGAAATGCTCACGGGCTTTGAACTTCCGCGCAAGCTTCATGGATGCTGTGATGATAGCGGGAGTCGTATATTTTATCCGCTCATTGCCAGGCTCATAGGCCTTGCGAACTTGCTGTAACAGTTTGAGTTGGGTGTCGTTGTCTGGTCCTTGAATGAAATGAACTATCCTTGCCAGCCAGCCTTGCTCCTCAACTGTCTCATCCGACTCACCACCTCTCTGGCGGTTCAACCCCGGATAACCGGTCGGTTGTTGAATACCCTCTTTGATGATCACCTTCAGAAGAGACATGATGCCATCCAGATGTTGTGTAGTTGTAATCAACACATGGTTCCGAAGGATGCTCTTAGCCACCTCTCCAGCAACAGCCCTCCTCGTAGCATACGTTTGTGATTGGTACAGAGGGAGATAGTTGGGAAGCGCCAACGCGGTGAAAAGCGACATATATGTTCTGATCGGTGAAAGAAGAAGATTGAGCATGTTGGCTTGGGTTGCGGCGGAATGGAGGTCGGCGGAGTCCATGTATTCGGCACCCTTCTCACGAGCATAGGCCAGAATCTGGTCAAGATATTCCAGCCTCTCTGGGTAGATGTTACTGATTGGTGTTAGCTTGTCAGCTCCCAGGATCGGATCATGAGAACGTACAGTGCAAGATTTGCCAATGACGTCAAAAGGGCCATAGTGTCTTGGATTGGAAGGCCTCTCGTTTTGACAAGATTTACGACTTGTTCGTAAAAGATCTCAAACAGCCTGACCTCATCAACGCCAGTTCCCTTTTCACCATTTGTCGCTGGTGTCGCCGGCGATGTTGCCAGCTCCGATTCCGTTGCTTGTGCTTCCGTGGGTGATTTGGTATCGGCACCATTCGTCGCCGGTGAATCCGGTTGAGCAGCAGAGGGAACAGGCTTCGAATCCTGGTTCAAATCGACTTTTTCCAGCATCCGGATTGCAGCCTCTTCTTCAGCTTTGCGCTTGTCTTCGGTAGACGCCGATTCAGCAGATTCCCTTTGTGCATAGGTAGACAGACGGTCCATTAATCCGATAACAATCTTCTTCATATCCACGTATGGATTTAATCTCGCGATGGCGGAGAGCATTTGATCCAAAGTGTGAAGGTGGTACTCATCCGGGAAGACTTTGGTGATGACTAGATCACCGTTAGCATGTCCCCGTACTCAGACCTATCTTCCTACCTTCGAGCAGATATTCTTGGGCAAGGACATCTCGACACTGGACTACCTGTTCCAGCAACGGGCCGATGATGGTAGATTTGTATGTCTCCAAGTCGACCAATTGACTTAGCCTCACCAGATTGCTTCCAACCAGTAATTCCAGCTCCCTCCGCTCTTGTGTCCGTTGTTCCCTTTCTCTTGAATGGCCCTGATGCTGCCATCTTACCCAAAGCTTATTCATCTCCACAAAGTTTGTAAGGATGAAGTTGATTGAATCTTGCAGATTTCCCTGGGGTCCCTCGTCTTTGCCCGTTGGTAAGTGGTCACGGGCCTGGCCCAACAGGTAGTATCGGAGGAAGAGGCCTCGGATGGGATGCTGTACGCCGCGACTCATTTCCATCATATCCTTCATGATCTCCTTGACCGGGGCATCTTCGACTCCCATATATACGGTGCCTACCGTAATCATAAGATATAATCTGGGTATTATGTTGCCTGCATACTGGACGAGTTCGTAGAGATCGGCAAGGTGGTTGACGGGATGCGACTCGCGGAGATAGTCTGACAGGTACCGTAGAGCATCAAACACAGCCATATAGAGCTCATAGTATTGCTTCGGCCCTAGCGTAGGAGTGCGCAGTTCAGAGACTAAAGTCGAGCTACAGTATTGCATTGTGGTCAGATGTGCAGTGGTCAAGGCTTGACGAGATCCTTACCCGCATTTCAGAGCATCCATGAGCTTTCCTGGCGTCTCCAGGCATCGTCGCATCTGCTGCGACTGTTGACGCACGACACCGAGAGCTTCCTCGAGCAAACGGCCCTGGTCCTCGACGGGAGTGCCGGTCGCCATGTCGCGACGGCGTAGGTGGCTTGCGCCCAGCGGCGAGGGAGAGCGAGGGAAAGCTTAGAGTTCAGCCGTAGAGGTAGTGAATTCAAAAGTATCAAAGAATTTGTGCCAATCAATATGCAAAAGACCGGGCGAAACTTTGGATGAGTGCAAGACTTCCCGGACAGTTTTCAGTGGTAGGCAGCGGAGATCTTCCTGCGCCTTGGACGGGCTTCAACATTGGAAGTTGCGGGCGGAAATGGCTTGGCAGGGAAATCCACGTCGCCCGCAGCCACTCCCTCAGCCTCGTCCCCGCCTTGTCTGTCGTATATTCCCCTTACCACCCCTATTCATCCTTCATAGACCGTCTGCCTCTACCAAAACTAAGCTCGTGGGACCATATTCAGGTGCCTTACTACATTTGTGATGAGTTTGCACACTTGTACAATGATCCATGGGCCACCTACCACCAAAGGCATGGCTATTACACGCCACAGGAGTTTTATCCCCGAAAGAACAAGCCATATCCAGATAAGTTCAAACCTCGTCTGGCCGCTTTTGTACAATCGTGGCTCTGGTTCGGACTGTTGCAAGAGTTCTTGAATGAAGATCTCCATCTTGAGGACTGGACTGCTCCCTGCAGCGTCGAAGGAGACGAAAAGAAACCCGCGACTCCTATATCGACTTCCGGCTTGTTGGCGAAATTGGACCACTGGGTTGAGGTAACCCGAGGCAAGAGCGATGAGGGTCGTGCCTCGGAGCTGAAGGCTTTCGACTACTTGCTTCATGACGCTGACAGACAGGAGAGTCACTTTGGATTATCCGAAGGTTCGAATTTCCTTGGAGCTTGGGATGTCCTTCCTCAAATACTGCTTTTGTCATTGAATATCTTAATCAACACCTTGAAGATTGTGCGAAATTCTGCTTGGCCTGACATTGCTCCTCTCCCAAGGCACCCTGGAATATTCTACGATAAATTGGAGCGTATGATGAGGCACGACGGCTGGTGCCCCGTCGCTGTCAATGCTTTGGCACTAAGTTGTGACGCGATATCATGTTACTGCGTCTCTCTTCTAGGTCCGGTCAAGAGCCCTCAAGACCATGTGGCTTGCAGCCCTGAGCTTTGCTCGGCGTTGAAGGTAGATCACCAGACATATCAAACTCGACACATAGAGCCTGGGTGTAAGTGTGATATGTCGGAGCTACTTGGCCGCCTTATAGCAACGATTTTACAAGCCAAATAAATTCCAGTCATTCGCCTCGGTGGACCTGACGGCAAGCTGGAGGTTGCCGCATCTGACTGTCTCGAGTATAATTTCGTTGCCATATCACATGTATGGTCAGATGGACTCGGCAATCTGCATCACAATAGTCTTCCATCTTGCCAGCTACGAAAAATTCAACATCAAGTCAACGTTCTGATGTGGAACTATTCTTCGAAACCGGAAGATAAAGCCAATGCTTTCTTCTGGATCGACACGATTTGTGTGCCGGTGGGCAGCTCGTTCAGGGCTGAGAGGAATTTCGCAATCTCCCAAATGGTTCACGTCTACCGAGAGGTCTCGATGACACTGATCCTGGACGCAGAACTAAACGACGTACCTTCGGACACGCGCTCATGGGAACTCTCTGCAAGGATCAACAGAACGGCCTGGTTCCGTCTGCTGTGGACATTACATGAAGGCATCATATCACGAAGGTGCCTCTTTCAGCTGAGCGACTGAGCGATTCGGTTCTCTGATCTCACCATGAGGCCACCCCATCCCAGAAGCGAAGTTCTCTCTGAGATTGAGAAGTCTATTCTTGAACAGACCTCGCGCATGTACACTAACATGGAAACCTTCAAAGCTCTGCCAAGACTGGAACGGAGCCGGGAGATATGGAGAGCCTTCGCCAGAAGGACAACCAGGAATGCTGACGACGAGACGATTTGTCTGTCTAACATGCTTGGACTCGACCTCACCCCCATTCTCGCAAGGGATCGCTGTGACACGAGAGTGTAGATTTTCCTAGGTTATTCTATGGCTGGTCGATCCACCTTAGCAATGGCTCAATGCTGTGTATTTCTCGGTTTTAATGGCACCGCTGGTCATCAACTGCACGTTATGAGAACTGGTGTCCACCTAAATTTGCAACAGCTGTTTCGGGTAATTTATTGATTGTGGCGTTTAGCATTGCTCGTGCTCACTGTCGCATATGTATATCTAGGTGCTAATGAGCTTCATAAACTCGTCCGATGATGAGTACTTGTGGACCGAATTAGGTTATATAGAAATGACCAAGTCATCCATAGGTTAGTCTGTTGCTTGTTAGACAGCTGTTCATTTAAGAACGGGATCATCAAGAACCAATGGCCCAACTTGTTTAAAGATAAACTCGACTTCGACATTGTCGCCCTCAAAATGCTTAGTTAGAGGGACTCGCAGCCGCTTTGAAGACCATTGGAGATACAGTCGAGTTCCCGAGTAAGTCAGAGAACACTCTATTACAAGACCGACTTGGGGTTTTTCGAGGCTCGTCAAATGTAACCAGCGATGCTCAAAGAAGGGGGTGCCGTGTAAAAGTAATTTGCAATAGGGGCAGCCCGAAATGACACCACGGTGGACAGTAGAGAGCAGAATATTGTTCCGACTAATTTCCCTTGCCTCTCATGGGATCGGCAAAACGGACAAGGTTGCAGAGTTATAATACCCTCGTGGTCCACTTGGTTTGTCCAGCGAGAAGTGCGCGCCGTTTGTGACAGTACTCGCGAGGCTGGCGAGTTGTCTGCACACGTAGAAGAGAATAAAGTGTGAGTGGGGAGCAGAACCTGGCGTGGAAGAAACAACACGCTTTTTTTGATAGCAAAAGGGCGTTAGTAGAGAGTGTTAGACAAGAATATGGCAGCAGGCTTCCTGATGCTTTCATCCATCAGGCTGAGAAATTCGAATCGCTAGCTGCCTGGTGGTAGGGATCCGAACTGTAAAGGCTCACGTAACCGCCAAAGTCGGCATACCGACTAATCGAACTCTCCGGTCATTGGAGGAAACGATCTTGACTGTTCACCGGTTGGAATATCCACCCAGGTAAGTGGGTGTCAGCGATGGTTCGCCGAGCCTCGACTTGACGTACCCTGTGATTTGGAAAAGCCGGTACGGGTTGGCACGCCGCCCTTTTGGGCCCTCGCCGGCGCCGCCCGCGATGAGGAACAGGCCAGGATCGAAGGTCAAGTACCGAGGGAGCAAGGTGAGCGTGAAGGAGAGGGAGAGGGTGGGTGGCATAGATATGAACCTTAAGTATGTAGATATTCACCATCTCCTATGATGCTCCCACGCGAGTAACGAAATATTCTCCCCGCTGAGTGATAAACCAAGAGAAGGTAAATCAATACTCAGCTCAACCTCCTTGAAGACGAGGGTGATGCCACCCTATGCTCCTTCCTTTTCATCCGTGTCACACTCTGTCTTGGATGAATGAAACTTAAGAATTTACCATGGTCAGTGCCTAGGATGTATATGGGACGTCCGCGTTTTCGATCTTATTACTGCCATTGTGACATCCTATTTATGTCCTCTTCAATCTTGGCCCAGGCTGCGGGGAGCAGAATCCCGGTCAGCCAGTAGTTGCCGCCGTGGTCTTTGCCCAACACCACGACCACGTTCCTCACCGCCGTGCTCTGTCGCATTGATTGCGCATGGTGGAAAACCAGGGAGCCGGGCGGGTTGCTCCTTGACTGGCCCGTCTCGCCGGCGCGAACAAGTGCAGGGCTGAAGTCGGCCGTCTCGAAGAAGCCGGCTCGGGTCCAGTTGGTGAAAGGCATTAGAAGGGCGTTGGACTCACCGCACACCATCCGTGGGTCGCTTCTGCCCGACTTAGATTCACGTCGCAGCTCGCGTAGGCAGGCAAGCACCTGTGCCTCGGTCGATTGCTCCATCAATTGGCGGCGGTTCTGAAGAGCTATGGGGCCTAGAGAGCCCGTCGCGACTTCGCGAGATAGGAACGTGAAGGCGGCCACTGCCATGTTCTGGACGTAAAAACCCGAAGCCTGAACTAGCAAAGAGAGTCGGAACCGTGCGTTGAGCGCGTGAAGCACCGACACTGGCCGTGGCTGCGGTAGGGAGGAAACCACTGCACGTACTGCCCACGCTGTCAGTACATCGCCCTCGCTGATGAATGGTTTCTCCTGTCCGCTATCCTGTGCAGCCAAGTCACCCTGCGCCTGGCGTCGCAGCTCGGCCACTATCCTCTTGGGCAAGAAGATGGTGCGTGTCTCGACGACCCGATTCCACAGCAGATCCCAGGCAAATCGTAGCCCGAACATGAGCATGGCCCATCCCCTCAGCCGCTTCTGCCCCAGCCTGAACTCTTCTTCATTTTCCACGGGCGCATCGGCGGCTGCACACAATACGTCCTCTCGCGCACCGAGCATGGGGGGCACTTCTGCCTCCCGGCCGGCCAGAACCAGACACCAGCTGCGCAGGAGGGCTTGCTGGCCCATGACATCCATAAGTGTATGTGGCCATGAGAGAGCCACGAGTGTTGCGTCTTTAAACGAAGTGATGTGTAGCGACAGCTGGGGGGTGTCCCGGTAGAGGAAATCCTCGAGCGTCGCCGGCGCATCTTCTCGAGCGCCAAAGACTCGAAAGCCCTGTGGCCCGGGTTGGATGGACGGGGTTTCGGTTGCTTTGGGGAGGGTCTTTGCCAGCGGATGGTCTTCAATGTCCATGGCTAGGGATTGGTGGGTATACGACACGGCAGGACGCTCCGCCGTGAAAGGCCGCGGTACATGAATCTCCAGCTCCCCATTCTCCTGGCGAGTGTGAGCAAGCAGCGACTGACCAGTCGAACATGATCAAAACGAGAAGCTAACCCTCAACCTCAGCCGACCACCGACCTTTCTCCAGTCACCAATTTCCAGCAGTCTCGACAACGACATATACAACTTGTCCGCATCCAGTACATCGTTAAAGCACAGCGTCCATGTGACGACGATGTCTCGGAGTGTCTGTGTGTCGTCTAGCATGTGAACCGGGTAGACCTCGTCACTCTCAACCGGTGGCGGTGGACTTCTTGCAGGAGACGCTCCGATTAGGCGCAATAGGGCCGCCATCTTGTCGGCGTTGAGAGATCTTGGCTGTTGACCCAAAATCAATTTTTTGAGCCGGCGACTTGGTCCATGTCCCAGCCATTATTCCCCGTCTGGATACCCCCTCGCCCTTATATGAACTGCGGCTCCGCTCTCTGTTCCCATCGCCTGTTAATTGTTGGAGAAATAGGGGCTCGCTTACTAGTGTACCCGAGAGTTACGGATTTTGTTTCCGTGAAACTTGCCTAACGTCAATGGAAACGGCACCTACCGCAGAGCGGGCCCTTCTTGACGGGTTTCATCCATCAGGCATGAGCCATCGGATTGTCAAGGAATCGAGCTCTAATTCGAAAGAGAACCTTATGTTTGAATGGCGACGGGACAAATACCATCTTAGAGCGGCGGCGTCAACAATGGTTCGAAAGCTTTTCGTCTTCAGTCAGCGTGTTGTAATACGTAGGAGACAGAGGAGCGATGTTTACAAAAATTTACCCAGTAGAGAATTATTTTCTGCCCTCCCAAAGCAGCGGCACCGACGGCTGAACTCGGCCGAAGTTTCCCTGCAATCTCGGTTGAGCTGCGAGGCTGTAATGGATATAATTTGGCAGGTACTATATCACCCAAAGGCGAAACTAGGGCCGAGTTTTAGGGCAGGCCTTGCGAAATGCTCTGTCTACCGTGGGAAGTTTACCCCGTCTTTACGCGCCAAGTAGTCGTGTCTTCCGACAAACAGGCTCACGTCAGAGACACTCTCTGGGCCTAGGCAACAGAACAGATGCATTTGATCATCAAGGATAAGGTCAAGATGGTGAGATATAGGAATAACCAGAGGCGAGAGAATGAATAACACAACTTCTATTGCTATTATTTTTCCTGTTGCCGCATGTATATCAGACATCCCAGACGTCTCAGACGTGACCACCAGCGCCTCGCTAAAATCCAGAATAACACTCAAGTTCCGCATTTCCGACCCGATATTCATACTTTTTAATCCCAGATATGACCCCCAAGAAATAGCCCAAGTTGCATTTTTACACATCGCGTCGATGTCTCAGAAAGGAATATTAATTGAGATTGCCTCACGAAGGTGTTGGAACCGGTGGACTCACACTCCCGAACTTGACAACAGACAAATTAGTGGCGTTGGCGACTCACTTGTCGTTTCCCAATTAGATGTCGGTGACAAAGCTGTGGACGGGATTGAATTCCAGCTCTATCAGGAAGCGGATTCTGATGTGGTGGTAGTGCATGTTGTAGTCCAGCTCAATTCTGGGCTGGAGGTAGTCGTTGAAGCCCAGCTTGATAGGCTCTCAGGGGTGACCGTATAGTAGTACCATGTGTGCCACATGCCGTCGTCATACGGTCTTATTGAAGGGACGGGTTGTGTGACCGTCACCGTTACTGGTGAAAGAATTTCTGTCGTGGTAGCTGGGGCAATGGAGGTTGCTATTGAGGGAGATGAGTCGGAGGGGTATTGTTGACTCGATGAGGCCGAAGATGCTGGTGGGGAGACGATTTGTGTTGTTGGCGAGGCAGTCGAGTAGTCGGTGACAGTAGTCGGCGATGGAGAGGTAACTGTCACGACTATCGTTATGGGTGTTTCAGACGCGGTCATGACGATCGTGGAGAGTTGTGTCTTCATTACTGTTGCCGTTTGAGTAATGGCATCGGTGACTGTTGCTGTAGGTGAGACATCGCTTGCTGTGCTTCCACCGTCCACTGCGACCACCGAGTACGAGACAGGTTGTCTTCGCTCGATCGTAGGCGGGAAGAGCGGCCAGGCGTTGGACAAGGCTAGCAACGAGGACAAAGAGAGTACGGTAAAGGCTGTTCTCGAATTCATTCTGAATGAGACAACGAGTGTACTGTTCAATTCGAGCTGAGTTCTGAGAATCTATTTGAGAGTTAAGCGAGAGCTGTTGAGTAGATGAGATCTGATGAATTTGAAGACTAGACAGGAAAAGAAGCAGAAGGGAAAAGACTCTTGGACATCTACCTATCCATGTCAGAGCAGAAATACACGGGCTGGTCATTGTCAAGAAGATTGCTGCGCGCATTGTGCACATGTGTGGCCTCGTCTGCCAGGGTTGCGGTGGCTGCTCGTGCGTGAAACGCTTTGTGCAGGGAATTTAAGAGGTTGGGAGAGTGGGAGGCTTGGAAATGAGCGCAGGCGGGCGCCAAGACCAGGCTGTAAACAGAGGCACCGTTCATGATTGGCGGAAATGACGTGGCTGGCGGCTCCACAAGCGCGCCAAGGCGAGGCTGGGGTGGAGGGAAAAAAGAGGAAAGCAAACCATGCAAACTCGGCTTGGCCATGTGGCGAGGTGGGCTTTGCTTGCTTGTTTTGAACTCTCTTCAACGGTTTCAGAAGGCCCATCCCAGATCCAGATCCTCTCGCAGTCTTCTACAAGCACCTAAGCGGTTTTCAGATACCCATATTTGGATCGGGGGGAGCGAGTGACTTACATCAATCGCGCACAGACTGAACATCAAGGGTTAGCTGGTCTTGGCCTTCGGCTTCCGGATCACGACCTTATCACCCTCTCGCATCCAGCCAATATCTTCGATCTTGACGAGTTCGTCCCAGTTCAGTTGGCTGCCAGTAGCACTCTGGAGGATCCAATTGACGTCGCAAGCGTAGTAGGCTCGGCCGATGGCTTTGAGCACCGTCTTGCGCTGTGCTTCCAGGTGCCAATAGAGGATAGCTCGCACATAGCCATCAACCTTCTGTCGAACACGCCAAAACGTGACCCAGTCTCCCATCATAATTGATTTCAGTATACTGTCGACGACTCTGCTTCTGAACCCAAACCGGACACGACTATTGTACCTCAAGGCATATGCTTGGTAAAGATCGCGCTGCCGGATAGCTGTGTCAAGGATTAAGTACGTCGTCATCTCCACCAACTCGGATCGAGGCAAGGGATGCTCGGGAGTATGCAGGACAGATAGGAGGTGCAGCAAGGAAGGATGGTAGCCCTCCGGATGAAGCGCCAGGATCGCGGCTCTAATATTGAATACATGGACTCGTTGAGAAAAGACTGGGTTTGGCGCTGATGCAGAACTGGCAAGCAAACCCTCTCGTAGTTTTCGGAGCGCGAGAAGAATAACCGATAGCTCAGATGCCGGTAGAGGGGTCGGTGCACTGGTCGATTGAGCATTCGTAGGGAGAATGAAATCTTGCTGCAATGGACTAGGGGCTCGTCCGGGTTGAGGAATGGTCGGCTTTCCGGGCGGTTTCTTCGTGGGATTCAAGGGGAGGGACTGACCCTCGTCGAGAGTTAAGGATGCAAAAGCGCTGTCGAGATCCTTGGAGTGCCGTGTGCAGAATTGCATGTAGCGAGCAACAATCTTGTTGTAGTAGCTCTCCTGTGTTTTGAGATCAAGCAGCCTGATTCCCGTTACAAAGACGAAGCCTGGGGCTCAAGTAGAAGGACAGTACCTATTGTCACCCTTGGAGACGAATCCCATGCCTTCCAAAGGATCTTGCTTCACTGGTCGTAACCTGTCCCATGGGGCTGAGGATTTCCTTCCTAGAGTTGGAGGGGCTTGAGCCATTTTGGTTCGTCCTAATTGATTTTATTGGACATTATGTTAAATTTGATGAAATACTGCGCCATCACCCCGCTTCAGGCGCTGCTTCTAGTCGAGAGCTTGGGGACAAGAGAGAAAGACCGATGGTCTCAGAGCGTCATGCTTCTCCTTGACTCGAATCTCATAACCGATAGGGAGGCACGGGCCGAGCCTCGTGAACCGAGATTTAACCGCCTCACCATGCAATTCCGTTCCCAACATTTAAATTTCGCACATTACCACCAGCAACCCATCAATACAATCAGAATTTGGAAGCAACAATGGCACCGAAAGACTTGGATGACAAGAGGCCTGAAGATTTAGGGAGCGCAGTACCGGAGTCGACCGAAGCAGCGAATCCAACCAAGCAATCCGACGAAGCTGAAGATCTTTGGCACACTCTCATACATTGGAACGATTTACCGCACTGGCTTCAAGACAACCATTTTATCCATGGCAGCTATAGGCGTGCGTCTTACAGCTACACAAGATCCCTGCAGAGTATTTTGCACTGGCATAACGAGAGCGTGAACATCTGGACGCATTTGGTTCCTGCCGCTCTGAGCTTGCCCTTTGCAGCCGTTCTCTACAGCGTGCTGGAACCTCGCTACGAGAAAGCATCAGTGGCCGATGTTATAGCAATGAGCTGCTTCTTTGGTGGCGCGGCCGTTTGTTTAGGGATGAGCGCATTCTATCACACTCTGTCCAACCACTCTCCACGCGTTGCCAGGCTCTGGAATCAGCTGGACTATGCCGGGATATCTGTGCTGATTGCCGGTTCATTCATCCCCAGTGTATATTATGGATTTTGGTGCCATCCAGTGAAGCAATGGATATATTGGATCATGGTGAGCAGGATCCATCCGACCTTAGCACGTTGCTGAGACCTACTCCAGATCTGCACCCTAGGCGTGGCGTGTACCACAACATCAATCCTTCCGCGCTTCCGAACTCCAGCCTGGAGACCGTACAGAGCTTTGATGTTTGTTGGCATGGGCATATCCGCCGTCTTTCCGGTCTTCGATGGGCTCAGGGCCTTCGGCTTGGGAGATATGGAGAAACAGATTGGCCTATCGTGGCTGGTATTGCAGGGAGCTCTGTATATCTTGGGCGCCGGTTTGTATGCGGTAAGTTCGCAGCCACGTTTGATGGTAACCATGTGCTGAGGAGAGCGCCATAGGCAAGAATTCCAGAGGCCTGGTATCCGGGCAAATTTGATACTCTCGGAAGTTCGCACCAGATCTTCCACGTCCTGATTGTCTTGGCTGCGTTGTCCCATCTCAGAGGACTTCTCAAAGCTTTTGACTACCGCCACGGGATCATGGAGTCCGTTTGCATATAAAACTGCGCGCCCATGTTCATAGCTTGAAGTCGGCATTCACGTACACGCGCATATGGTCGGGATCGTTCCGATGACCGGCAATTTGCGAGACCATTGAGGTTTTCAAGTCGCGCGATCTATCCGAAGTCAAATCGTAGACAGTGGCAAGGTTGATTGTCAGTGTCTGGAAAGACTGTCCGTCATTGACGAGCCTTTCCAGAAGCTGCCTGGACTTCCGAACCTCACCTTGATACAGATACGCAACTGCGAGGTTCTGTTCCACGAGCGCTGCCAAGTCTGGATTAGCGGTCGCTCTATTTTCGGACAGGCTCTCCATGGCATCGTCGTATCGACCGTCAGCAATCGCGAGAAGAGATCCGAGCACAAGCTTGTCCTGCGGACCAAGGCTTCCAGATTCAATCAGCCTCTCGGCTCCGGGAACGTCACCCATCTTGACTTTCAGCAGAATCATTCTGGATGTCCAAAGTGCCAGATGCTCATCGGTTGCAGGTTTCATACTCGCAAGCGTTCTCGCAGCGCAATCGACATCCCCCATCTCAATCAAGGCGTTCACGACCCGGATTGACACTTCACGAAGCCTCTCTGTCCACAGCCTCCTCTGCTCGGATGATGTACTAGGAGCAGATAAATGTTCTCTGCACTCTAGCCCAACATCGTAAAGCGTAGAGACGCCCCTCCTTGGATCCGAGAAGCCGATGCTCTGCAACCTGAGCGCTTGCAGGCGCAGCGGGAAGGGCATTATATGGCTCGGAACTTTCTGTCCGTCCCCTAGATCATCATCTGCCCCCCTCTCTGGGTTTGGTTCATCGTAGTAGAACCCAGAACTCAAATCTTCCAATGCTTTTGCCTCTTGTGCAGCAAACAGCAAATTCCCTGAAAGTTCGAGACACGAATACCTAATCTCCAGTAAGCGGAAAATTGACTTTGAGTCCGTAGGCCGCACGGTGCCAGAAACTAAGATCGAACCCGCTAGCTGGGCGGCCCGGAGAAAGTCACATTGAGAGAGGAGCGAATCTAATTGCTGCATGGACGCTTTGAGGGGCGTTTCCGCGTTCGGCGGCGGGAGGAATGGTTTTCGGAAGGGCCCCGGGACTTCGAGTTGAGAAAGGGGATGGTATATTGAAGCATCGAGGAGGAATGAGAGGTCTCTTTCCTCAGATGCAGGTAAGCCTAGAGCCAAAGACGCTTCCTGCTGGACATTTGGTGCTGTTGGTCGTTGAGCGGCTGCACCCGTTGCTACTGCTAGGGCCTCATTGATTTCTTTTCCAGGCGACAGAGGTACCGTAGAGTTCTGAGGAGATGGCACGGATGTAGCAGATAGAGATAAAGGGTCGGTTGGTGCATCCAGTGGCCCTTTCGTGGTTCTTCGAGGAAGGGCTGTTCGACTTGACGGCTTACGGCTGTGGTGTGCTGAGGCCATGTCCAGGACGTGACGCTCTCACATTTAACGGCGGCCACCCAGCTTTCCCCTGTCTTTGAGATCTGTGTCCTGATTTTTGTTGACAAGTGCCTGATGAGGATTACATAGAAAAGACATGGATGTGGGAGTTCAGGCACCGGATAAACCTCGGCGGGATCTGAACCCTTAACATTGACCAAGTCACGCCCATTGATGATCTGTCGCGTACAAACTCCAAGTGCGAAATCCCGCTGGAGGTTGTCGCGCAAGAGCACCACGTCGCAATCTTTCAAAAGACACACAGTGAAGTCGACAGCCATGGGGACCAAAGGCGACAAATATTCGGTCATTCTTCCCACTTACAATGAGCGCCAGAACCTGCCCGTCCTGGTGCAGATGCTCTCTGATGTCTTCACAAAGGAGTAAGTCCCTCGATCCTACCACCTGCGCCATTCTACGAGCGGGTCAGGAAAATGTCTAACAATGTCCCTTTTACAGGAAACTCAACTGGGAGATCATCATCGTCGAC